AAGAGTTAACTAATTATTTTGAAATTGAACTATACTGTATATATCAATCAAGTCTCTTAATTATGTTTTGTATTAATATAGTACCTAAATTATGCAATCTCACTCAATGTAATCCTTCCATTTAAATTTGTAATTAATTTTAACGGAAACTCTCACGTGCACATCACGTGAGTTAGATATTATGTTATAGTTTAAGGGTTACGTGACGTGCACATGAGAGTTAACGGTGAATTTGAACGAAAGGGCTGTATTAAGTCAAATTACATTATTTAGGGATTAATTGATAGTATAAAATATAATTTTGGGATTTATTGACACAAATAATCAAGGACTAAATAAGTAGTTAACTANAGTTAGATATTATGTTATAGTTTAAGGGTTACGTGACGTGCACATGATAGTTAACGGTGAATTTGAACGAAAGGGCTGTATTAAGTCAAATTACATTATTTAGGGATTAATTGATAGTATAAAATATAATTTTGGGATTTATTGACACAAATAATCAAGGACTAAATAAGTAGTTAACTAAAAAAAAAAATTGGGGCTTATCCTCAAAATAAATACAAATTACCAGGGAGAGAGAGAGAGAGAGACTAATGAAGTTTAGCACATGAGTTTTGTTGGGGAGTGGTACCTGGAATCTTGCAAAATCAAAAACCATGGAAATAGCTTTTTCGGTAAATCTTTCCCTTTCAAAACCAACATTTTTAGGACTTTTCTCCGTCATTTCATTCTCCCTGTATATATCTGCCACCGTCTGGTCGGTAAAGGACCTTCGTGGATGAAGTGTGTTCTTTGTCTCTGTGTAGACTGTTTCATCTCTCTCTCTCTCTCTCTCTCTCTCTCTCTCTCTGTGCTTATTTAACGCACCTCTTTTGCTGTCAAAACTTTTCACAAACACCTCATTCTTAAGTTTTTGGTTATTGTAAAAAGTGAGAAACTGAAGACGTTTGGGTTCCAAGTCTGTTGCTTTTCTGAGGAACCAGATCAGAGTGAAGCTTTTAGAGAAAAATTTACTGAAATTTCGACGGTTGGTCATGATCCAAGAGTGTTTTAGAGGATGGAAATTCAGCTTAGTTATTGCCATGTCAGTCTCTCTACTGTGTTTGTCTAATAAGTTCAATAGTTCCTGCTGAAGATAATATTGCTTTCAAGGTACCTTCTATCCTCTTTGTCTTATTTTCTTGTGTTTGGTTGATTAGAAAATTGGAAGGAAGGAGAAGGAAAATTTTAATCTTTACGTTCCATTTTTGATTTGGGTATTCTCCAGAAAAAAAGAAAAACTCACTCAATTAGAACTTCCATTTCTCTACTTCTCCTACTTTTTCTTTACAATCAAACAGTCATATTTCTTAGTATTGTTCTAGGTTCGTCCCAATTTTATGCGATTTTCAGGCTAAATCATTTGCTATCTTGTTACAATTACAGCATTTGCCGTGAAACGAGAAGCAGAAGAGGAATTATATGTGTGGAAGGTTTGGTTTTGAAATGATTACTGTAATGAACTCATTGAGAAAACCCATGAAAGAAGTGGAGAAAAGCTTGGACTCCCAACTATGGCACGCCTGTGCCGGTGGGATGGTCCAAATGCCGCCGGTAAACTCTAAAGTGTTTTACTTCCCTCAGGGCCACATTGAACACGCCCATAGGAGTGTAGATTTTGGGAATTTTTCAAGAATTCCACCACTCATTCTGTGTAAAGTATCATCAATTAAATATTTTGCTGATACTGAGACTGATGAGGTTTATGCGAAAATTAGATTGGTACCACTGAGGAACAATGATTGTGATTTAGATGATGATAGTTTCTTGGGTTTTGATGAGAATAAGAATGGAGAGAAACCCAATTCATTTGCGAAGACATTGACACAGTCTGATGCTAATAATGGTGGGGGTTTCTCTGTTCCGAGGTACTGTGCTGAGACTATGTTTCCAAGGTTGGATTATTCGGTTGAACCGCCTGTTCAGACCATTGTTGCAAAGGAAGTTCATGGTGAGATTTGGAAATTTAGGCATATTTATAGAGGGACACCACGGAGGCATTTGTTGACGACCGGGTGGAGCAATTTTGTGAACAAGAAGAAGCTTGTTGCCGGGGATTCGGTTGTGTTTTTGAGAGCACAAAATGGGGAACTTTGTGTTGGGACTAGGAGGTTGAAGAAGGGGATTTTTGGGGAGAATTGTGGCTCTTTATATGGGGAATTTTCCAGGTTCTTGAGGGAAGATGAGAACAAGTTTACGTTACCATTTGGGAACTGTAATGATAGTTTCAGGGGAAGGGGAAAAGTGAGGGTTGAATCTGTTATTGAAGCTGCAACTCTTGCTGCCAATGGGCAGCCCTTTGAGGTTGTTTACTATCCACGCACAAGCTCTCCCGAGTTTTGCGTGAAGGCCTCGTCTGTGAGGGGTGCAATGAGAGTGCAATGGTGTCCTGGGATGAGGTTTAAGATGCCTTTTGAAACAGAGGATGCGTCTAGGATAAGCTGGTTCATGGGGACTATATCTTCTGCTCAAGTTGATGATCCCATCCATTGGCCAAATTCTCCATGGCGGCTTCTACAGGTAACTTAAATCCTAATTTGCATCTTGTTCCTGCAACCTAGAACAGATTTAAAATGAAAGTAAGTCTTATCTTGGTTTGACTGCTTCCTTCTTGTGTGCCATTGCCACTTTTTATTTAGAACTCAGTCATTACAAACTTGTCAAAAAACAAAGTCTTATCCTGGTTTGCTTGCCAATTTTTATCTAAAACTTCGTGCCTTTATAAACCTTTCAAAAGAAAAGTTGAGAATTTTATGTTCAGTTTTTCCTTCTTTGATGTGTTTCGGCTGAGAATATGCGATTAAAATTTGCTGTAGATGTCAGAGATTCCTGGTCTTTGATTGATTTAGAATATTTCTCTTTGAGAAGAGGACCTTCTCTATGATTAGAATGGATTCAAACAAATCATGTCTAATTTTCCGAGGAAATGCTGAGCTGAGGCATGTGTTGTGATGCCAAACACAGAAACTAAGAATGCATCAATGTGCCAAAGTTATTAGAATCACTTCCTTTGACTCTTTTGAGTTTTAACACCTCTTGAACTAAAAATCATTTGCAGGTAGCTTGGGATGAGCCAGATTTACTTCAAAATGTGAAGCGAGTCAGCCCGTGGTTGGTGGAATTGGTATCAAACATGCCTGCCATCCATCATCTCTCCCCCTTTTCACCACCAAGAAAAAAGTCAAGGCATTCACAACCTCCAGATTCCCCCCTTGTTGAGCAACATCCGTTATTACTATCACTGCACAGCAATCCCATCAGGCCCAACAGCCCTTTTTGTTATATATCGGGCGACATCTCTGCAGGCATTCAGGGAGCCAGGCATACTCAATTTGGACTATCCTCATTAGATCACTTGAACAAACTAAAAGCGGGGCTGCTTCCATTTGGGTTCCAGCCGATTGACCACACTGCCCCTCCTAGAACCCCCACTGATAGCTTCATGGACAATCCTGAAGACGATGTGAATATATCTTGCTTGCTGAAAATGGGACATTTGCCCCAGAATTCAAAGAAAAATATTGAAACAAAAACGCCTAGGTTCTTCTTGTTTGGTCAACCCATTCTTATTGAGCAGCATCTCTCTCAGAGCTGCTCTGGAGATACTATTGGAAACAGTTTGTCAGATGGGAATTTCGAGAAAACAGCAAGTCTATCTGAGGGTTCAGGATCAGCGGTCGTTCAGAATGGTCTATCGGACTGCTCTTTGGATGAAGGATTTACCAGTTAAACACACGGGAGATAAACCCTTCAGGTAATATCGTGTATATCTCAACTTGTAATATATGTTGTGCAACCATCTCTTCTACATACCTTGGATTTTAATAGGTTTTGTTTTGTCATAATCATTGCAGTGAATTTTTTAAGACAGCGAGAAGGTTAACAATTGTAATTGATTCAGGAGTGACAACATAGGGAGGTACAGAAGTTATCCTTTGTTTACAATTCTTCTTCATTCTTTGGAGTTGGAGCAGAAGTCCCCTTCAACCACCAATTGTAGCACGGCTTAAATTTGTCGTTCAAGATAACATTCTTCGAATGTTAGCGTTCATGCATGTCGTATTCCATTTACATTCTGTTTCCTGACATTTCCAAGGAATATGAACATCAAAATTTTCTTCCATTATGTTACTGTGCTGTAGCCTTCCATTTGGAGGGGCCATTAAGGACATCTCTGATGATTGAAAACTTTGCAATTGAGATGAAATCTAAATCAGGGACGAGTTTTTCTCATTGTTTGTTTAGTTTGCATTATTAACAAACATCGGGTTTATAAAAGCACAAACTGTGGAGGAAATGTTCTTCAAGAAGTTGCAGAGGAAAGGTTCTTCTTCATGTAATGCATAAGTTCAATGTGGAATGTTGTTTTTAGCCACAACTGATACGGAATTGTCTCCCACTGCTTAGCCTTGTGCCAAAAGCAAAACCCATCATGCCATGCTTATCCCAAGTCTAAGATGCATTTGGAAAGATTTTTTCACTCATGCTCTAGCCAACACAAGGTCATTTACCCTCCGATTGACCAAATTTTGCATGGTTTGGCTGAAGCAAAGGGTCTAGGTACTGACCCAAAAAAAACCAAAAAAAAGGACTAGGTAAGGTTTTTGACTATAGCAAAGCTAGGAAACGTAAGTAGTAAACAACTTTATCTCAATTTTAGAAAAGGTTTTAGAGAATAGCAAAGCTAGGAGATGTAAATAGTAAACAATTTTATCGTTATTTTAGAAAAGTTTGATTTTTAAACTCAAACATGCATTGTGTCACTAAAACAAATAAACACTCGTCATCATTTCAGATCCGATCTCTTATCATTATTCTAGATCCCACCTCTTGTATGGATAAAGTATCACTGTCACATTACCAACTGAAATGATTCCATCCCACTTGCCGTTACTTCACTTTGCAGGGTATTAAATATATCAAGAATTAGAGTGAAGCTAGATGNAGTATCAAACATGCCTGCCATCCATCATCTCTCCCCCTTTTCACCACCAAGAAAAAAGTCAAGGCATTCACAACCTCCAAATTCCCCCCTTGTTGAGCAACATCCGTTATTACTATCACTGCACAGCAATCCCATCAGGCCCAACAGCCCTTTTTGTTATATATCGGGCGACATCTCTGCAGGCATTCAGGGAGCCAGGCATACTCAATTTGGACTATCCTCATTAGATCACTTGAACAAACTAAAAGCGGGGCTGCTTCCATTTGGGTTCCAGCCGATTGACCACACTGCCCCTCCTAGAACCCCCACTGATAGCTTCATGGACAATCCTGAAGACGATGTGAATATATCTTGTTTGCTGAAAATGGGACATTTGCCCCAGAATTCAAAGAAAAATATTGAAACAAAAACGCCTAGGTTCTTCTTGTTTGGTCAACCCATTCTTATTGAGCAGCATCTCTCTCAGAGCTGCTCTGGAGATACTATTGGAAACAGTTTGTCAGATGGGAATTTCGAGAAAACAGCAAGTCTATCTGAGGGTTCAGGATCAGCGGTCGTTCAGAATGGTCTATCGGACTGCTCTTTGGATGAAGGATTTACCAGTTAAACACACGGGAGATAAACCCTTCAGGTAATATCGTGTATATCTCAACTTGTAATATATGTTGTGCAACCATCTCTTCTACATACCTTGGATTTTAATAGGTTTTGTTTTGTCATAATCATTGCAGTGAATTTTTTAAGACAGCGAGAAGGTTAACAATTGTAATTGATTCAGGAGTGACAACATAGGGAGGTACAGAAGTTATCCTTTGTTTACAATTCTTCTTCATTCTTTGGAGTTGGAGCAGAAGTCCCCTTCAACCACCAATTGTAGCACGGCTTAAATTTGTCGTTCAAGATAACATTCTTCGAATGTTAGCGTTCATGCATGTCGTATTCCATTTACATTCTGTTTCCTGACATTTCCAAGGAATATGAACATCAAAATTTTCTTCCATTATGTTACTGTGCTGTAGCCTTCCATTTGGAGGGGCCATTAAGGACATCTCTGATGATTGAAAACTTTGCAATTGAGATGAAATCTAAATCAGGGACGAGTTTTTCTCATTGTTTGTTTAGTTTGCATTATTAACAAACATCGGGTTTATAAAAGCACAAACTGTGGAGGAAATGTTCTTCAAGAAGTTGCAGAGGAAAGGTTCTTCTTCATGTAATGCATAAGTTCAATGTGGAATGTTGTTTTTAGCCACAACTGATACGGAATTGTCTCCCACTGCTTAGCCTTGTGCCAAAAGCAAAACCCATCATGCCATGCTTATCCCAAGTCTAAGATGCATTTGGAAAGATTTTTTCACTCATGCTCTAGCCAACACAAGGTCATTTACCCTCCGATTGACCAAATTTTGCATGGTTTGGCTGAAGCAAAGGGTCTAGGTACTGACCCAAAAAAAACCAAAAAAAAGGACTAGGTAAGGTTTTTGACTATAGCAAAGCTAGGAAACGTAAGTAGTAAACAACTTTATCTCAATTTTAGAAAAGGTTTTAGAGAATAGCAAAGCTAGGAGATGTAAATAGTAAACAATTTTATCGTTATTTTAGAAAAGTTTGATTTTTAAACTCAAACATGCATTGTGTCACTAAAACAAATAAACACTCGTCATCATTTCAGATCCGATCTCTTATCATTATTCTAGATCCCACCTCTTGTATGGATAAAGTATCACTGTCACATTACCAACTGAAATGATTCCATCCCACTTGCCGTTACTTCACTTTGCAGGGTATTAAATATATCAAGAATTAGAGTGAAGCTAGATGAACAAACATAGCATGTTATTTTTGAGCTAATTTCAAAAGTGACAACTGGAGTTTAAGAGTTTGTACTGGCACAATGAATGAAAGTAATTAATGTACACATTATCAAAAATGTATGAGAAAATGTACAGATTGGCATTCATGCATAGACGATGAGTATTGTTAACCACAAGGGTAAATTTTATAATTAGCCCCCCAATTTTGACTTCGGTTTTGATTTGGTCCCTAAACTTTCAATTATTCCAATTTAATCCCTCAACTATTAATTTTGTCTATTTTCATTGTTAGATATATGATCTAACGGTGAAAATTGATCAGATCAAACTCTAGTCTCTGTTTGATCTAATGGTAAAAATAAATAGAATGACTTAATTGAAATGAAATTTATAATTGAGAAATTAAATTACGATAATTAAAAGTTTAATGACCAAATTGAGATCGAAAGTAAAGTTTAGGAATCAATTATGATTTTTATCCTANGATTAAATGAAGATAATTAAAAGTTTAATGACCAAATTGAGATCGAAAGTAAAGTTCAGGAATCAATTATGATTTTTATCCTAACCATAATGAGTATTACTTGAATCGACCGAGGACGAGGACTAAATATTGTAAAGAATCCAAGTTTGAATGATACATGGTCCATGTGATTGGGATCACCAATATTAGCACGATAACTTGCATTTCATTTGACTTTCTTGTGAAATGATATTAGACTTTATTATTTTTTTTCACCCACAACAAATTTATCTAATCCCAAGTGCAGTTGTTTAAAATTTCCAAATCCCAAGTACTGTTTTTTCAACTCTCTAACCAAAGGAACCTAATATAGTGCCGCAAGTGCTGGTGAAAAATTGGGTCAGTCATTGGGATTCGAACCTGAATAATGAATTAGCCTTAAACAGAAGGATTAGGCTGGCAAGTTTACGAGGATGTCGATTGGGTCAAACAGGCAGGACTTAGAAATTTCCTCTCCCCACGCGGCACATTGGGGAGTGTACTTCTGGGATTTGCCATTCAACAAACAAAGATTATGAGAGAGAGACAGTTGCCCTCATTGGTAATTTATGTTTTTTGTTTGGAAGTTAAATAATGATTTGTTGTTGGTTAAATCAAAAAAAATATTAGTTGAAACATTTGTAAGTTGTTCCGATTTGAATAATACTATACATTCCAAATTTGGATCTCAAATCCGTAAGAATGGTTGCGAGACTCACTTATTCAACCATCCTTATTGATTTGAGATGAAAATTTGGGAAACAAAGCATTTTCAGGTATAGACACTCTTGACGGATATGTTTTATACAATTTTTTTTTAAAACAAAAAATATAGGTGGGATCTTTTTCTAACATTCATAAATTTTCATAGCCTCCTCGACTCCTCCTCCTCCTCCTCCCATTTTCAATGACATAAATTTTTAGGAAAGAATTTTGGATATGGTAAGTTAGAGAAAGGCTCAAAATTTATGATTTTAAATTTTTAGTTTTTAAATTGAGTGCTAGAGTGACTATGAACATGCTACATATTTTTGATCATACAAAACAAAGCATAAGTCTCGTACAAAACAAAGCATGGCATGCCATGTTTCATCAAGATAGATCGAAAGGTTTAGTTATTGATAGACAAATTTTGTTGAAATATCAAGATTTTTTTTTGTTCAACAGTCAGGAGTGTTCAGATTAATTTACACACACCTCTTTTTTTTATCCAATCAAAAAAGGTCAGGACTAATATATTAAGATGTCCCTCAAACCAGAGTTTGTAAAGGTCTAAATGGCTCTGGCAATGCTGTGCTCTAGAGTTTTGGACATTAACAAAAGTACAAAGCCAGACAGCAAAGATGAAACATTGGTTGCGAGCCCATTTTACACGAGGGGGAGAATATTATAATCACCCTTTTATGGAACAAGCTCTTAGGTAATTTGGTCCAAATAAGACATGAACTCAAGACAATACAAACTCAAAAATAATATGATCAATTAATATGATAATAAATGACCCGAGTTAGTATTAGACAAAAATAATCTACTTACCTGGTATTGTAACAAAAAAAAAAAATCAATTACATTNTCGTTACACAAAAAAAAAAGAATTTGTATATACTAGAGAGTGAATGAGAGGGAGAACCTTAGTTTAATGGAGAGGGAGAATAGTTACAAATGAATGATGTATTTTGGTTAACTAGTTAAAATTATATTTTTAACCCTTAACTTTTTCTTTTTTTAAAAACAAAAATTATTTTTAGTATATTTTTAATCTTATGGATTGAGTTCATGAGCCCAAATTACTCAAATTTATTTTTGCTTGAGTNTTAAAAAAAATTATTTTTAGTATATTTTTAATCTTATGGATTGAGTTCATGAGCCCAAATTACTCAAATTTATTTTTGCTTGAGTTAAAATTTTATAGGGCTTTTTTTAGGGTCTAAAATCTTATGGACTTAAAAAAATTGATTTGGAATAACTATGTATCTTAAAATTTTAGGATCCTCTTTGAATATGGGGCTTAAAGCCCAGACTTTGTTGGTCTTGTGATAAGGCCGGCTTTTAATCGAACGAGGGAGAAGATTAGTCGAAATACGCGTAAATTGATCCGAACATTCTTAACCATTAAACCAAAAAAAGAACCATGTGAATCAGCGTACATTCTCAAAAAATTTACTATTAAAAAGAGTTGGAATTGATTTAACTATTTTGGGATCTACCCCCAAACAGCCCCATTGTATCCTTACCTCGTCAGATTGAACCGTAACATCATACTTATTAATGGTTATTTCCAATTCAATAACTGAAAATAATATGTCGGTACCATAAATATTTCCCTACTTCACTAGATGTAGATCATGAAAAGAACAGCTGCTACTACTTCCTAATGTTAATGTATTATTTCTAGAAGGAAAAATTGCAACCTCATCCACTATGATTTAGATCANGAAGAAGAAGAGGGAGAAGGAGGGAAAGTGATTATAAAATGATGGTTATTTACTTGCTGTACAATCTGAGTCGGGGTAATCCCACAGATAACTTAAATGGTAATAAAGACGAATTATAAATTTATACGTCTTAAATTTGAATATTGGGAATCCTTTGAGATGAGACTATAAAAAATTTATTTTTCATGAATATTTTAGTCCCAGTATGAATAATCCCTGCGAGAGGCGGTCCAAGACTATTTGAGGCCTAAATCGACTACTACAAATGAGGTTTGATAATGATGGTATTTTAGGTATGAGTCGCTCTAATCAAGAGCCCAATAAGTCCAGAAGGCCTCTACTTGCAGAGTGGCCCAAACCAACCTGTCCACTCCAAGATTAGAATGGATTGCGCTCAAAGTTTAAAACCCAACAATACCTGAAGGCTTGAAGTCCAGTCCAGCCCCAATCCAGCCCAACAAAGAGGTTAGCTCGGGATCAAGGAACTCAGTCCCCTTGTCGATCCTGAACCACTCTCGTCTCGCCATGTGTTTAGAGGGCAGAGGGACCACTTCTGACATTCATAATAAACACGCACTCTTAACCACAGAGAATATTGGTGCGCATAATTGCTCAAGGATCGTGGATGCAGTAACGTCATATGGCATAGGCCACTACATGACAAAAGTAGAAGGGCTCATAAAATCAGCAAAAAGGAGAAAGGAGCGTCAAGAAACCCTAGAATGATTATCTGTATAATTAGGACACTATTACCCTGCGAAACAGGGACGATCATCATCTTCCTCAGTGTCTACTTAGCTAACTTCATAAATAAGCTTATACTCTCTAAGCATTTTCTTGAAAAAGACTTTAAGCCAAACAAACTGTTGTAACCATCTTCTTCAAGCAATATACACACCCCCCAAGGAGCGTGAAACTCTATCACAGTGGACAGAGTTTTGATCTTTTAACTAAGGTGAACCACTTACGTAATATCT